GGGCAAGTCTCATGAGCAGCACCTGAGGGAACTGGAGTTATTTAGCCTAGAGAAAGTGAGACTTAGGGGAGACATGATTGCTCTCCTTAACTACCTCAAAGGTGATTGTAGTGAGGCGGTGATCAGTCTCTTTTCCCAAGGAAAATCAGTAGGACAAGAGCAAATGGCCATAAGTTGCACAAAGGAAGGTGTAGGTTGGGTATTAGGAAAAAAATATTCACTGGATGGGTTGTAAAGCATTGGAGCACGCTCTCCAAGGAAGTGGTTGAGTCATCATCCCTGGATAATATTTAAAAGACTTGTAGATGTAGTGCTTATGGACGTGGTTTAGTGATTGACTAAACTTGTCAGTGCTATTGAAATGTTAATGAAATGTATTTGATGATGTGAGAAATCCTTTTCAGTGTAAGTGATCTTACAGTTTTGTAATCACAATGAAATGCACATGAAGGAGAAGAAAATCATCAGGAGTTTGGATTCACCAAGGGAAGGTCATATCAGACCAACCTACTAAGTTTCTATAACGAGGTGACCAGCCTGATAGATGAGGGGAGAACAACTGTTGTTTTCCTGGACTTCAGTAAGGCCTATGACACTGTCCCACATAAGATCCTAATAGATAAGCTGTTGAAATATGAGCTGGATGAGTAGCAGTGAAGTGGATCCAAAACTGTTCAGTTCCATCTGTGCCTTGGCATTTCTGATCCCCTCTCTATATGTCCAAATAGCACCCCTGTACTCTTCCCAGGCCATACCGATAGTGCTTTTATTCTATCTGTTTTATTCAGAAGCAATTGCATGCCTGCACTTATTTCACTTATTTTGTTTCTCTTTCAACTCAATAAAAGATTTAATGTAGTACATAGTGCTTTTATGAACATGTTTTCATGAATTCCATAATAAAAGCTACAATTCCATATAGCATGCAAGGAATAGAATGTGTAAAATGTATTTTTTTTTCTCTTCAAATTAAATATTCACAGTAAACAATTGAAATACACCATCAATAAACTAGAGTCTGCCTTGGAAAGACCAGAAGCAAATGAAATACAACCATAGTTCATCTTAAACTTCTCTTAAAATCTTTAAGGAAAGGTGGCATGAAATCAAGAAAACAAACCAAAAGGAAGAAAAATTGAATAATCTGATAATGCTTAGAATATAGCAATACTACTGGATAACATTGCATTCTGGTTCAAGTATTGACAGGCCAACCAGAGGTGAAGCACTGCGGGATCTGGTGCTCACCAGTGCAGAGGAGATCATTAAAGGCATTAAGATTGGAGGCAGCTTAGGCTGCAGTGACCATGTGCTGGTTGAGTTTGTGATCTTGAGGAATGTGGGCCAGGGAAAGAGTCTGGTCTTGCAGTATTCTTGGTCCTGGTATATTTAAAATAAGAGCTAGTATTAATTCTTGCATGACGTTTTCTCAAATTCTTGTATGACCCTTTCCATCCTTCCCTAAAACCTTAAACCAAATATAGAATCACAGAACTGCAGGGGTTGGAAGGGACCTCTGGAGGTCATCAAGTCCAACCTCCCTGCTAAAGCAGGTTCCCTACCGTAGGTTACACAGGAAAGTGCCCAGGTGGCTTTTGAATACCTCCAGGGAAGGAGTTTCCACAACCTCTCTGGGCAGCCTGTTTCAGTTCTCCAACACCCTCACAGCAAAGAAGGCAATGAATGAAAAATAGAGCCAGGACACTGAACTTCAGGAGAGCAAACTTTAGGGTTTTCCCCTTCTCTGTTAAGGTACTGTTGGACGAAATCCCCTGGGAAGCTGTCCTTAGAGACAAAGGAGTGGAGGAAAGCTGGCTACTCTTTAAGGATGTCTTTCTGACAGCTCAAGAGCTCTCTGTCCCTCAGAATAAGAAAGCGGGCAGGGGAGGCAGGAAGCCAGCATGGCTTGGCAAGGACATGCTGGTCAAACTGAGGGAAAAGTACAGGCTGTACCAGCTGTGGAAACAAGGACACGTCAGCTGAGGAGAATACAGGGGCACTGTCTGGACTTGCAGAGAGGGGATTAGGAAAGCCAAGGCGCAGATGGAACCAAGCTTGGTGAGGAATGTTAAAAGCAAGAAGAAGGGATTCTACAGGTAAGTTGGCCAGAAGAGATAGGCCAAAGAGAGCATACCTCCTTTGGTAATTGAGAAAGGAGAACTGGCTACAACAGATATGGGGAAGGCTGAGGTACTAAATGAGTTTTTTGCCTTGTTCTTCAGTGGCAACCAGGATTCCTGTACATCTCATGTCCCTGAAGCTCACATCCCTGGGCCCACCCTAGGCGGGAACTGAGGGATTAACCCCCCCGGCTCGGCCGGGCCGCGCCCCCCCGTCCCCCCCCCCCAAGCCCGCATGGGCAGAGCAATTCTGAGACCACCTCATGAGACTGAATGTATACACGTCATGCCATACCTATCTGGTAGCCTTCTATGCTGGAGTGATGACACTGGTGGGCAAAGGGAAGGCGACTGATGTCATCTGCCTAGATCTGTGAAAGGCCTTTGACATGGGCCCGCACCACATTCTTATCTCTAAACTGAAGAGATATAGATTAGAGGGATAGACTATTTGGTGGATAAGGAATTGGCTGGAAGAATGTAGACAGAGGGTCATGGTGAATGGCACTACGAATGTCCAGGTGAAGGCTGGTGATGTGCAGTGTCCCCCAGGGTCTGTCTTGGGACCAGTGTTCATCAACATCTTCCTCAATAACATCGATGACTGGCTCAAGTACACCTTCAGCAAATTTGTCAGTGCCACCAAGCTGAGTGGTGTGGTTACACATTAGCAGAAAAGGATGTCATCCAGAAGGACCTAGACAAAATCAAAAGGTCAACCTTGTGAGGTTCGACAGCAAAGTGCAAGGTTTTGCACTTGGGTCGGAGTAATCTGGGATATGTATACAGAGTGGTAGAAGAACTCCTTAACAGTAGCTCTGCAGAGAAGGACCTGGGAGTCCTGCTGAATGAAAAACTGAACATGAGCCAGCAGTGTGCTGTTGCAGCTCAGAAGGCCAGTGGTATCCTGGGCTCCATCACAAGAGGGATGGCCAGCAGGGACAGGGAGGTTGTTGTCCCTCTCTACTCTGCCCTTGAGAGGCCCCATCTGGAGTACTGCGTCCAGCTCTGGAGCCCCCAGAACAGAAAAGATGAGCCAATGGAGAGGGTCCAGAGGGGGGCCACAAAGATGATCCTAGGGCTGGAGCACTTTCCTTGTGAGGACAGGCTTCTTCAGCCTGCAGAAAAGAAGGCTGTGAGGAGACCTCATTGCAGACTTCCAGTATTTAAAAGGGGATTATAAAAAGGAGGGGAATCAACTTATTACGTGGGTAGATAGTGATAGGACAAGGGAGAATGGTTTTAAGCTCAAGGAAGGAAGGTTTAGATTGGATGTCAGGGGAAGTTCTTTGCAGAGGGAGTGGTGAGGTGCTGGAACAGGCTGCCCAGTGATGTTTTGGATGCTCCATCCCTGGAGGTGTTCAAGACCCGGTTGGATGGGGCCCTGGGCAACCTGGTCTAGTACCAGATCTGGAGGTTGTTTGCCCTATCTGTGACAGGTGCTTGGAACTGGGTGATCCTTGGGGTCCCTTCCAACCCAAGCCACTCTATGGTTCTGTGAGTCTCATGGATAGTCTGTGATTATCATTTGGAGAACATCTGACCTATGACTCTTTGAATAGAGAAATCACTACAGTTTAATGGAGTATTGTCTATTGCTGAGACCTGTGTCATTCAACGTTTAAACACCACAAGGCCTCTTACTTTCCTTAGTCAAAATCAACACCTGCAAAGTTGTGACTGGTGGATCATAGAGCACTAAGATATTTATTCGTATAATTGCTAACTAAGAATAACTTTCTCTTACCATGTTCCAAACAAAAATGTGGGAATAAGTATTCCTATGTAGTTTTCAAGCAAAAATGTGTAGTGTGCTTTTGGTTATACAAGGTCATATCTTGTCTGCTCCATTGTATCTCTCTATATTGCCTCCATTACCAATTGCTTTGTCAGCTTGTGCAGATGAGGTCTATAATATGCATACCTACCTTAGGAAACCCAGATAGCTATTTGTCAAAAATATGCACATAGGTGAACAGATGTAGCATTCAACAGTTATATGTTTGGTAACTCAGATGCGGTAGTGATGAGAAATTCACTTTTTATCACCAACATTTGTTAAAAATATGTTGACCAAATGGTAAGGACTTGTGATACAGATTCTCCAGGCATTCCACCAAGGCAAAAAGAAGATCAGGATGAATCCTGATAATCTTCTTCAGGCTTGAAGACAAACTTGAATGATTACATCTGCAGTTCTTGTTTCCCCCAGATTTTCTTCTGCTTGTACCGACACAGTGAGTTTTCAGTAAAGACGCTGGAAACACACCAATGCAAAACTAGTATCTGAAGTTTGAGCCAAGCCCAGCTGCTGCAGTTGATGCTTATTATTACAGGCAGTGATGAATAATAAACAGAAATCATTTGAAAATGTCAGTTTGTAGGTACAAACAAGTTAATTTTTTTACTAAGATTTTATAATTAGGTATGAACTGTCTTATTTCATTAAACAAATACGGATCTGAATATTTCAGTCATTTAAGCTGAATTGCCAGAGTCCTGAATCATGTCATAGCAGTCATGATCTCTATCCCTGCCTGTTCCCTTGAGGCCTCCCTCACATGCTCAAAGACCAGCACGCCATTTCAGCATCCTTTATGCCCTCCACTCAGGACTCACTTCTGGCATCAGGACCACCACCTCCTGCCTGACACAGTGAGGCCACACTGGTCCCCAGCTTCCCACAGCTTTGCCCAGCCCAACCAAGGGCCCTGCAGAGCCAAGCCCACTCTCAGGCCCATGTCCAGACCCAGTCTCAGTTCCATTCTCATCCTGGTGCCCGGTGCTAGTGCAACCCTCTGCTGTCCTGCTTCTGGTTGATGAGATAGGACTAAACAATACTGATTTTAATTTTAAAGAACATCAAGATAGTCAACTTACTTCTCTAATGAACTTTTTTCTAATCTCTCTTTCTCTTTCCTCTGACGTTCTTTGTTCTTCTTGACTCGAGCCTCCCAGAGTCCTCTTATGAGCGAAAAGTCAAATATTATCACCTGATGCCCCATACTGCTGACATTAAACTTCTCCTGCAAGAACAAGACATCGTGAACATTTAATGCAAGCACTAAGAAAAAAATAAGGAAAACAACCATCATGTTTCAGCAAACCTACCTGGGCAAAGAAGAATCCAAAATAATAGTAATACAGTGTGCTCTCTACCTTATATATTTTTTCTAGAGTTTTGTGCCCATTGTGATCAATGCAGCATAGAAGGGATTTCCACACAAAATCAACTATAGACGAGGGCTGAACGTTGAATTTATTGAGCCCTTGCACTTTTCCCGTTCTAAAATAAAGACACAGTTGCAAAGAACTACTAATCTGATGAAAATAATTTGAATGACTTTGTGTTTTCTTACAATCTAGGCAACGAGCATTAAAAGAAGTAATAAATTATTTATTAATCATAAATCATACACTTCAGCTTGAGTTCCCACTGTATTGTTTTTTATGCAGCCACGTTGATTCTGTCTCATAGTAATTGTGTCCATAAATATATCCTTATCTGTGAAATGTGTTAAAACACCTGCCCTATAACATACAGTGAAAGATTAACAATTGTTGAAATAAGTTAGTGTTTGTGAACACGATACCAATTTATAAGTACATGTAGAGTTTCCTTCCAGCAGTTCAAAGTATAAAAGTATTAGGTTCTGAGAACATCTTTTTACGTGCGGTTAAGAACTGAACTGAACTAGAGGCTAGTTCATCAATCTTTCTCTGTTGAATTAAGAAGACAGAAAAACTGCTTGCAAGGAGCCTTCCTTTTCCTGAAGTCAGTGATAAAGTACTCATTCCCTTTAATAAGCATCATGCTTGAGCTTGGCCAGATAAGAACTTTAAAGTCTTTCAGCTCTAGGAAAGAAATCTACAGTATCTTTAATAAGAGAAAACCTTGTAGTTACACCTTATGAAACATTGTGTGACTAGCAATATGATGTTCCTTCCTAATTTGTAGCAATGGTTCAGTGGCAAAAAGAGAAAAAAACATCCTTGAAATCACTAACAGAAGTGCATATATAAATTTTCATAAGTAAAGCAGTACTCCTTTAGTCTCTTGTTGGAATCACTGGTGAGAGTGCAAGCCTCAGAAAACTTTTTTTTTTTTTCATTAAATGCAGCTACATCACCTACCAGTGACTTCTGTCAAGTTTAGTCCTTCAAAAAGTGATCCACTAAACCACTGTGAACGTGTATTATTAAATAGAAATTTGAAAGATTTTAAAAATAATTGCTTCCACCAAGATAAAAGTTCTTTGTTTAAGGTTAGGTTTTTTTAGATGCTACTATTATTATACCACTCATCAGCTTAAAAAAAAATAATGGAAAGAATGAAACTGCACTGAATATAGAAATATCTACTGATAATTGGGAAAGTAATGTGCCCTTTCCCTTACAGGATATTTTTAAGGTTTCTGTCTTTCTGTTATAATACTGAGGAAGAAGCGGAAAATATTCTCCCCTCTAGACTGTTCCACTTGTAGTTTCATAACTGCCTCTTTCTTCTTCATCTCTCTTTAATACACAACATATAAAGAAATAATATTTTCTGAGCCAGAAAACACCCTCATGTCCTCTAGAAGACACATAGTGTGTACTAAAATGAATTATGCAGTTATACACTAAGAAGAAAGGTTCCTAGCTGTCCACCTTATTTGTCATAATTGTAAAACTACTCCAAATGCTGGCACAGAGATACTGGTAAGAGATTGATATTTTTATAAGACAAAGTCTTCTTTACCTTAGTAAAGATCTTAGATCTACTATCTTTGCTGTTCATAGAGGTTGTTTATATTTACAAGCACTAATAATTACGCAAAAAATAATTTTATAGCTTATCTGTTAGTGGTTGCTGACAATAGACAAGTTAAAAACCTGCTAATAATAGTGTAAAGAGAATGATGACCTTATTCTCAGTTGAATGGTTTATCAATAATCACATATATCTTTTAAAATTGCTTTCATCTGTTATCACCTAAAATAAAACACTCACCTCAGTTGTCTAAACCAAGAAACAGCAGCAAGGACTTCCTCCTCACAGTCACTGCAGTCACTCTGCAGGCTCTAATTCATTTTAATTCATAGCTAGTGTTCTGGGAGGGCTATTGCGGGAGCTGAATTGCTGAGAGGTGTTGAAGTGGCAGTTGAGCACTCAAACTCTGTTAAACATAGATGGCCTTAATCAACACAAAGTCTAAGTGAATTCTGTAAGGATTTTATTTTTTTGACTTGTTTCCCATCTTCCTGTCTGCCAGGTTAAGTCATCTGTTCTTTATGAAGACATTGATCTAGTAGAGACTCAAGGTGAAAAAGTTCATTTGATTTTCATCCACAAATTGGATTACATTGCATGCATTGGGATTTCTCTGCAATTGTAAAACCAGGTACAAGTGGAATACAGCTAGGAGGTAAGAGGTGCCCATCAAAACTCCTGAGGACTATTCTGTTCAAACTGAACACAGCCACAAATACGATGTGAAGACAGCATCTACCAAGGCATAATTAGGTGGTCGAAAGTTTAATGCTGTCTTACCTGGGTAACAACTACATCTGTAATCTGCTGGAGATTATCAGTTCACCTTTCTTATCTAACATTCTACAAATGCTCTTTCAGTCTTATTAGAATTATTAGTGGAAACACATCATGAAAGAAAGGCTCTTCAGCAATGTAATCTGCGAGAGATACAAAAGTAATGTATCCTATTTTATTATGCTGGCCTATGACATTATTGATGCTTGCTGATCATTCATAGAGACCAAACAGTGGATGTGTGTTTGCCAAATCAGGCAGTGTGTGGTGTGTTTCAGCAGTGGTGACAGCAACATGAAAGATGAGCCATGTTCCAAACAGCCGTGCACAACTGTCACACCATGAAATGAAGTGTCTCAATCTGCTCGTCCATGCAAATCAATGGATTACAACCAGGAAACTGTGTACGGAGCTGACTCTTGGCTTCAGAGGAAATGATGGTAGCAGTACTGAAATACTGCAAATTTTGTGCCAGGTGGGTGCCACAAATGCCCACACAGGAAGAGAAAGAACACCATATGGAAGTTTGTCAGAATCTATCAAACCAATATGAGAATAAGACAGTGCTGACTAAGCTGAAGGCTCACACTTTCTGAGTTAAGACAGAGAAGAGTACCAGGTTTCTCTTGCTGCATGGTAACACAAGGGCCATATCAGTATGAAGACTGTGGCGCACATTGCCAGTCTTGGCCCTACCACACGCAACATATATTCTGGATTTGGCACCTTCTGACTTCCACCTGTTCAAGTCAATAAAGTAAATAAGCTGTGTGGGCAACACTTTCCTTGCAACAATGCCATGACAGCAGCTGTGAAACAGTGAGTCACCTCTGCTGCTGCAGATCATTATGAGCACAGCATGCAGACTCTTGTTCATTTCTGGTGAAAGTTAATAGTGGTAGCTACATTGAAAAATAGTGTTTTGTAGCAGAAAATTTGCTGTATCAAATAGTGTTACTGTGCTCTTTATATCTGTTGTAGTTTCCGTGGAAATAAATAGGAGCCATTACATTTGGAGTGATCTAGGCAGCATAATGAGAGTACAGAACTTTCCAAGGAAGAGGACAGTCAGTAACACAAAGAGAAGAAAATATCTGCTTAGATATCTGCATGGAATATTTTTATTTTATCTTTTATTTTATTTTATTTTGTATATTCCCCTAAAGATATTCAGATAGTTCTCTAGCACCTGTCTTATATTTTCTTCTTCCTGTTGTATGAGGACCCAGAAGCCATAGATTTAAATCTATTCATTAAGGTGTTTAAAAACCACAGATTGAAGAAGGTATCTGCCTTATAATACCTGCATTCTTTATTACTTATTATTTATTACTTATTGTTATTTAGTAGATCTGGTATGCTACCTCTTTAAAAACCTTGTTCCCTATAGCTACTGATATCTCCAACCCCATTGACTGCTCTACCACAGATATTTTCTAGATTCTATGCTAGATATTTTCAAGGCTATCTTTGAAAATAGCCAGTACTCTCTCTCATGTCTGCTGAGTTCTACCTATCCTCACTTGGCCATTGGCCCCTGTTACCAATGCAGCTTTTGACTCTTTGTTTTGGTTTGTTTTTCTGTTTTGTTTCTTTTACTGGGTTTAGGAAAAACAAGGAAAATGATCATTTGCACTACATCTGGAAGTGTGTACAAAAGGCCACTCAAGCAACTGGGTTTTAAAATGTTAAAGGAGCTTCATCTGAGTAGGCTGTTCATATACTACCAGATGCCACAAAATCACTGACCTTTGAGAATCAAACTGTTTAAGTACACATATGCTAAAAGTAACACTGAAATCCTACAGAAGTTCGCAGAACTGCACTTCAAAGTACAAGCTGCATTGGATTAACAATATACAACATTTCTGTAATAATTTTAGCACTGTATTGATGTATAGTAGCACTAAGGAGCGTACTACACAAAATTAAAGACAAGATTTTCTTTCAAAAGTAGTGGAGCACAGGGGGAAAATGCTCTTAAATATGAAAACTGTACAGCTTTCCAGGACTGACAATACCAAGTTTCCTATGGCTCTTTGCTGTCTATCAAAGTTATTCCTGTCTTGAGTGGTTTGAAAACAGCTAGTCAGATGGCAAAATTATATTAGTTTTATTACATGACAGTTTAGCCTCCTCTGAACAGTTTTAGTATCAGTGTTAATGGCCAACAAGTCTGTACTGCGCATTTGTAGAATAAGACCTATGTCTTCTCTTTAATCTCAAAGTTGCACAACGTAGTTTTGATATTACTAATCAGACAATATTAGTTAGTGTTAAAGCCCTTCAGAGTCCGAATGGGCCCTTTCAGAATGAACACCAGGCATACCTTCATTTGCTGAGTTACCAAAATGTGAACATTTTTGTTCTTCAATTTGTTTAACAGTCTTGTTCACTTGAGACATTTCCTTTTAGATAATCACTATAGGAGACCTGCTGTAATCTTATTACTGCCTGGATTACATAGAGGAAAAT